GTCGACGACAACGTTTTTTGAATTGACTGTATACTCATTGACTGAGCATGGAAGGGCAAGAGAGGAAAGGTTGCTGTACTTGGTTCATACGGCATGATCAACTTCAAGCCAAAAATTTTCCCATCTGGCCAGACGTAACTTACTCAATAAGCATTTTATCATGTGACCCTATTTTTGTTGTAAAGAAGGCTAAAAAATCCTGCTAAAATTGATAAATAGACATAAACCTTCAGAGAGTGCCAGGCAGGGCCATATATGGGTCATGATTAAGTCTAGTATAATACACTTTAAACCAACTCTTCTGCCCTCTGATTGGCTGAGATACTACTGGTCTATTTGTGAAAAAGAATTAGGATGGGGCCTAAGGCAGCTAATGTTTTCAACCTAATTTTAAAAGTTTTCATATCTATTTATTTAGACTAGTTTAGACCAAAACAATTAGATCTTAGCCTTCTGCCTCACATGCTACTGACCAATAGACCATTAGGACTTTGGGTGTAATTTATCGTGAAGTGGTTTGGGTTTTGGGTGAACAGAACAAAGGGTTGATTTAAAAAGAAAGAGTGGTGATGTGGAAGTTAATCATAGGTTTATTTAGCATGACATAGACAAATTAACTCTTATTTTTAATCTTCTTCAGGAATGGCTGATGTAATACTAGTAAACAGCAAATTTACTGCAAGAACATTCAGTAATACATTCAAGACGTTACAAGGCATTGAACCAGCAGTTCTTTATCCATCAATTAACTTCAAGTCATTCCATGTTCCATTCAGTGATGAAGACATCAAAGACCTGATCCCACCAACAGCAACAACTGTATTTTTATCTATCAATCGCTATGAGAGAAAGAAGAACCTCCCCTTAGCACTGGAAGCAATGGATTGGTTAAAGAATAAGCTGAATGAGAAGGAATGGAAGCATACTCATCTTATTATTGCAGGTATCACTGTTATTTATGCTACCCTGTTGATTCTCTAACCCTTAAAATATTCAGTCCTTTTCTCAATGTGCATAAATACAATTATTTCAATAAAGTTAGTCACCAAAAACCTAGAAAGCTGAGATCACTGAGCATCATGGGAAACTTTTCATATCAAAAAAGCATATATATACAAAGCTTTTTTAATACAAACTGCAGCTCGATGATGCTCAGAAGAAGTGAGACTGTAACTGGTAAAAGATTCGCAAGTCCATGAACAGTTATCAAGCAGTTGAACGTGTAAAATGAATCTACCCATAAGCCTTGTCAGCCTCAGCTTTATAGCTTTTCAGGTGACTAACTTTATTGAAATAAGTGTATATGCACAATGCATCTTAAATGTAACAACGTTTTCTTTTGTTTTAAAGGTGGCTATGATGAGAGAGTTGTAGAAAACAAGCAGCATTATTTAGAACTACAAGCTCTTGCCACACGTTACAATCTTACAGACCATGTGACCTTCATCAGATCGTTCTCTGACAGCCAAAAACTTGCCCTTCTTAAATGTAGTAGTTGTTTGATCTACACACCAAGTAATGAACACTTTGGGCTTGTTCCTATTGAAGCAATGTATGCTGAAAGACCTGTTATTGCTGTTAACAGTGGAGGACCTTTGGAGACCATCAGTAATAATGAAACTGGATTCCTGTGCAACCCAGATGCCGAGTCATTTGCAAATGCTATGGAAAAGTTTGTAAAAGATAAAAGTCTTTCTGAGAAACTTGGTAATGCAGGTCGACCACATGTTATGAGCAAGTTCTCTTTTGATGTGTTTGCCCAACAGCTTCATACTCTAGTATGTCGACTATACTTATCAACGTTTGATGCTTACTCAGTAGACTGATATAAATAACCTTAGTAGTGATGCCAGTGTTCACTTTGTTTGATTGACAGGTGTCAGACAGCAGTAGACCCACCCGACTATGGTCAGTTCTAGTGAAGTTTTTACTTGTGGTATTTGTATTCTCTGTTGTTGCTGCTCTATATGTTTTTCCTAGAAAGTAATGATCTGTAATGTATATCAACTTCACTAAAGACTAGGTTCATTGGAGTATTAGATATTAGTATTAGATATTATAAAAGAAAGTAAATACTAGAAAGTAATGATCTGTAATCTATATCAACTTCACTAAAGACTTGGTTTATTGGAGTATTAGATATAATTATTAGATATTTTTAAAGAGGGTAAATAGAGTGCAAATAATATACCTGTGAAATAGTTAGGATAGTTAGCGCTTAATTAGACAAGACATGGGAATTCAGTGAGGCATGACAAGGGCACGGGCGTTTTTTAGAGTTAACAACTCAATACGCAAATGAATAGACACGAAAATGCGAACACTGAAAATTATACAAAGGAAAAACATGTACAATAAAATATTGTTTCAGCTTTTGTAAGTGTGTTTAAAAATATTTAATAATGTGTGCCCTTGAGTAGCATGCATGTACTAGTTTACCCGTCACGGCTCGCCTATTTCTTTAACTTATTAGACTTTAGGCAACCAATATCACAAAGTTAGTAATTAGTTAGCTAGCTATCTATTTCACCGGTAGATTATTTGCACTCTACTAGAAAGTAAGGATCTGTAATGTATATCAGCTGCACTAAAGACTAGTTTTAGTGGAGTATTAGATATTATTTTAAAAAATTCAATCCTTTTCGAATTTGATTTTCCACTCTTTTAATACAAACTATATCATCAATATTGAATGGATGGCACAATATGATAATCATTATATTACACCCATTATAATGCAACTAGCAAAGTTAGTGTTTGATTGGTTGTGATAGGGCAATCTGCTAAAAGATGACAATCAATCAAAAATATTATTAGAGTATTGTGGGTACCCACTTTTAATTTAATGTGTAGTTCCAGAAATTATCCATATCCCCCCACTGAGGAATTTTTTAAAGACACCGCCCTACCCCAGGAAATTCCAATTTTCTTCCATACAAACTCTGTAATTTTTGTTCTTTCTCTGACCCCCCCACCTCCCCCCTCCCACACCCTTTGGAAATTCCAAATTCTACTGTGGGGTGGGTATGGACAATTTCTGGAACTACACAATTGATGGAAGTTTCCCTGTTGCGACTAAGTTTAAGATAGTCTAAGCTTGTGGTAATTATTAGTTTTAATTGTAATGGTGATTTTTATTAAAGTCTGACAGAATAAGCCTTTTCATAGTTTAAGAATTGATTCCACTGCGCATGCAATTTTATCCCGAATTTCTCACCTTCATTTGTCTAAACCTTCTTTTGTTCTTAATTAAACAAAAGAAGGTGAGAAATTCAGGATAAAATCGCATGCGCAGTGGAATCGATTCTTAAACTATAAAAAGGCTTATTGCTAGAACATTCAATTGTGTATTACAATTTCACATTATATATTAAATAGAGTCATCTAGGGTAGGATTATTTTATTTGATATTTAAAATTATGGTACTCAAAATTCTAAAACTAAAATATCTTTATATTAAATATTTTTGGCCTTTCTTTCAACTATATTATAATTAACCCATAAAATTCTCTAAATAACACATTTTGTTTCACAGGTTAGTGAAAACCACTCTATAAATCAATTTTAAACTTCAGTATTGCTATTTTCCTATAAGTTTGAGCAGAAGAGAGCCACCAAACCTGTATTGTCAGCTCAGAATTACCTTTGGATGTTAGGAGAATATTGCAATACAAAACTTATTGTGATTTTGAGTCCTCTAAATGTGGCCAATATGGAATATATTCTTCCAACAAGCCACCAATAAAAACTTTTACTGGCAGCTCAAAATCACTATAACTTCATAAGCACTTAAATACAGATAATACAGATGATCTTCATGTCAATGTTGGAGTAAATTGAAGTCCAAAGAAATAAAAAATCAATTAACTTGTCAAACAAAATATACAAACAAATTGAAAGTGAAATAATATATGTTACTTGTCTAACTCAATAAATAGAAGACTGCACTATAGGTGCAATCAAGGGCATACATTTTCCTTTTCATCATATGTTTTTCCCAGTCTGTGAAATGTGCTTAAACTTTTTTGTTCATTACGTAGTCGTCCATAATACCTCRAGACTTCTGGATGTGCCCTTACACATTTCTTATCAAAGTCCAATATCCTTAAGCTGTGAAGACTACGTGCACGTGACAGGGCTACATAAGCCTGGCCATATTCAAATACATTGGCTAAAGACATTTCAACACAGTCTAATGTCATACCCTGTCATGGAAAGAAATCCAAAAGTTACTAAAGCCTATATAATTTTTTTTAAATAAGGGAGGGAGACAACATTCAACCACAGGCATGAACTGCACAAARATGAGAAGCAGACTGCTACCATTGCAGCACATGCCACCCAACCAATTTAAAGCCCCACAAATTGTCGGGGGAAAAAAGTATACTGCAATGAAAACATGTTTTATGTACACGTGTAGTTGACTAGTTGTGAGGCAATAGCATTTATTTACCTGGCTCTTGTGAATAGACACTGCCCAAGCAAGCTTGAGGGGTAGTTGACGCCTGGTGACTATTCCCCCTCCAGGGAGATGTACGACCCATTTCTCAGCAGCTATAGCCTTTTCTACTCCACAAGTGAACTTAATGATAGGATTTCCTTAAAGTAAATAGTCCCGTTTAATTTCTACATTTATGAGATAAAACATAATTCTATACAAATTTCATTTAATAATAATAAAATGCACCCACAGTAAAAAAGGAAATTGTTCAGTGTCTTACCAATGCTAGAATGTCCTTTTTCAAAACCCTTGACCACACCCCTGGCACCATTCACCAGACCTTCACTGACATTGAGATTTTTAACAAGCATTACCTTCAGTGAAAAAGAATTTGAATATTTTAATACTATAAGTAATAAATTCTTTTCTGCTAATCATAATTGATGATGTTTTTCCATTCTCACCTGTGCTCCAACTTTAAGATCTATTTTGTCAGGTGCAGCAAGTTGTTTAGACAGCACATGTGCCTGTCCTGGGTCACTGTCACACGCTGCAAATGTGTGCACTTTACCACTGATCTTAGACATGTGGATCTCATTGATTTGATCAACATTTTCTTTGTGAGTACACAGTTTTRTGGCTAAGATGCCATCTTTTTCTATTGTATGGTTTCTTGTTTCTACCAACTTGGCAACTAGTTTTTCTGGACAACTGAAAAAAAATTATAAATTATGTAATGACCATGACAAACTAAATACTGGCTAGGGGTGGATCTAGAAGGAAATATTAGAAAATAATCAATCATACAAAATAACTTTCTTGTTGCATAACGACTAATGACTTATAAATATTGGCAGCTTGCAGGGCCGTAACCAGAACTTTTACAGGGAGGGTGCACATCGAATAAAATCGGACCATTGATCGTTTTCTTTATTACCAACTCAGTGGCGTAACTAGGGATCTTGCAGGGAGGTGCACAGGCAATAATTTGCAGAACCAAAAAAAAAAGAAGATGGATGAGCGGACCTTGGGCTTTTATGGGGGGGGGGGGGTGCACGTGCACCCTGTGCTCCCCCCTGGTTACGGCCCTGGCTTGAGCCCCCCTAACCAAATTCCTATATCTGCTTCTGCTAGCTGAAACTATGGATGTATCTAATGACAGTATTTACCTTCCAACTCTAATGTTCTGCAGAATGGATACAAACATAGGATCTTTTTGTCGGAACACACTTGTCAGTTCGATAGTATTGCTGATACAGTCTTGCCAACTCTCTGCCTATGACAAGGAATTCAATCAATAAGATTGGTTTGTTTGAGAAACAACAAACTAGTCTGGATTGGACTTACGATATTACCTGGAAGCAAAACTTTTTATTATTTCCTTCTTTCTTCCAGACAGGTGGTAGCTGTAAGAAGTCTCCTGAGAGTATCAACTGTATCCCACCAAAAGGTCTGTCATTATTCCTTACGCTGCGTGCCACTGCTTCTAGCTTGTCAAAAAGATCACCATCAATCATTGATATTTCATCAATGATAAGGCGCTTACAGTTTTTCCATTGACGTGATCTCTCAGGTCTAGAAGCCAAATCAATGCACTGCTCAATGGTGGCACTTCCACTGCCAATACCTAAAAGAAAATAAGTCAGTAAGGTTAGTACCAGAGACCGCAGAGTGTAATTTTGATTGGGGGGGGGGTTTAGTGACCACCCGCTAGTGGGGTTTGGGGGCAGATCCAATTGAAAAAATTTCCTTGGAATTGCAATTTATAGTGTTTTTAGGGGATTTTACAACATACATATTGCATTGGCTATTGATATTTTAAAAAGCAAAAAAATAATTCAAAATTTGGCGGCGATCACATGGGAACTACAGCCCACCAGCTCCCCCTTCTCTGCGGTCCCCCGAGTACTGTCTGCCCATCAGTGACACTTGGTACAGTATTAAATACCCAGTGAAACATATATTTCTTGTGTTGTAAAGTATACTAGTGACAAATACCTGCAAATGCATGTAGAGTTGTTCCTCCTATATGACAGGCAGCCGCACCGGTACTTGCAGTCACGAAGGTTCCTTCGGGCGGTAAAATACCAAGAAGTTTGCGAAGAAGAAAAGTCTTCCCAGTACCTGCACTACCGGTAAAGAAGACATTACGAGACGCGCGGACTGCTTTTATAACCTCCGACTGTTCTGAAGTGAGATTAGTTTGTAAGGTAGAAGATACGCAATGAAGCCTCTTCCGAGGACCTCCTGTCGTATTTTCATCTCGTTTACAGCGTTTAGGAGTAGATCCATTGTGGTTTACATCTCCAAACGGTCTTTTTTTACAAACATTAAAATCTTTCTCAGAAAGAGGGCTAATGTTCTCGAACGTCCGTGGTAAATCACTTCGCATTCTTGTTCTTTCACTGGCGAAACCAGATTCTTTTTTCTGGGCAAGTTTTGAAGACAAACATTTTAAGAATAAAGCAAGTTTACTGGGAGGACAGTTAGATAAAAGTAGTTGTATATTCTGTGTCACCAGTTTAATCGTTGCTTTCCCTTCTTGTAGGAAACGTTTATGGATTGTAATCTCTCTCAATCGATATGTCTTGCCAAGAGGAGAATTCTTTGTCAAAATTCTCAAGATGATATCGCGAAACTCGTCTCTACAACAAATTACCGACACGTTTTTGTAGACTCGTCTTCTAGTGACAGTACCATTGATAGGGTTAAGGCTTTCTACGTTAACAGTGCAAGAGAGTTCTCCTGCGTCCATTAAATCAGACATAATTCGTTCTTTGTTGAATCGAACGAACAATAAAGTGAATGAGAAACTACGATMGAACCGCGCGGCTTTTTAAATTTTTGGAGTTTACCCCAACAACCAATCAAAATTCAGATACTTTACACAGGTATCCCAATATGCAAAACATGCCATACCACAGGAATCCCATTTTCAGAAAGAAGTAAATAAATAACTGTGAACATTACAGAAATGTGAAGACCATAAGCAAATAAAAGCACGCTATTTTTAACAGTTCATATTATACATGCTGTAGTCAAGTTTACTTTTTTTCTAATTTTGTTCTAATTGGATTGGTTGACAGTATGTAGGTGCTGACACACTATCATCATGTGTGGTACAAATTATTATTGCATCATTCATATCCAAGTACCAGTTATTCTACTGTTCTTTACTTTACGACAAATAAAAACTTGTTTGCTGTCTTGTGTAGTTCTATAGCTACGTGTACTTGCGTTTCTAATACTTCTCTCATGTTCCTCTGCCATTTCCTGAGCGCTTCAATACAACTGCACACAACACAAACATTCATTTTCCATTTCTTTACTAAAGCACAGGCTGTATGTCTGGTGACAAGTACAATAGTAGCTATCAAGAAATAACGAGTCAATTTATAAAATAAGAACTTCATTTTAACAAGCCATCATAAAAAATGTTTACATTCTGGTCAAGTACACAGGTTTCTTTCCATCATCCTTGTTTCAGGACTGGTATCCCAACCTGGAAATAAGTACTTTTTTCCTGGTTGGGATACATTTAGATTTCAGTCACATGGCTACAGCTATCACCCAATGAAAGTGTTTGTTATATTGGAARAAATCTGTAGGCATATAACAATCATGATTACTTCTATAGGAACCTTTCTAAAGATTAATAACAGTATTACACAAATCGTTGCGAGTAAAAGATGGAATAGACAATAGGTATAGCTTTGTCATAATAAAAAGTTGGCATACAGAGAGTGTAAAATGCAAGGCAACATAAATAATACTTTACAGTACTAAGATGAGTTATTTTGGAAGCTTAATCCAAGCATATATTATATGAGTTATCATTACATATGAATATGGCAAGAACAAAGGGATTGTACAATATATGATTATGTTGTTCCATTAATGACTTCCATCTCTTCTTGATCATCAGCAGGTTTTGCATCTGCTCCTGGTATTTGTCCTGACTTCAACATCATTTCTAATCTCTGTACTTCATCAAGAGATTTAGCATTGGCAATAGCAGCCTAGAAACCAAAACAATCAGTATTAAATATTACTTTTTTCTGGTATCCTAAAAATTGTGCCTTCTGATTGGCTGCACAAGTGGGCAGTATCTCTGGCTGCTGTCTGGTATCCTGATGAAAGGCTTACATCATCCAAGAGTGCGCATGGGAAAACAGAATATTAAACAACAAAAATAATATGCAAAAAATGTGTAAAAGTAAATGAGAAAAAAGCAGTTATTTTATGGCCCAAAGAGGGTCAGAATAGGGAAAAACTGTTTTCTCAGTTTTGAAAACCTCCAACTTGGACCCTGGGCACAGTTTTTCCTTACTCAGATCTCCTTGATGGTAAATAACAAATATGTATGACAACCACAACACAATACATCCCTTGACAAATGTAATTAATTTTAACTTTGACTTGAACCAAATTGTCATACAAAGCTATGTTTGTAGCAAATGAAGGTTACTTTAGAAATCACATTGCCTGTATGCTGTTTATTCTACCCCATTCAAATCTTTGGTATGGAACCAAAAACAATCAAGTCGTCTTACTTTAATAGCTGTAACATCACGGCTTGGTGGTGCTTCTGGTCTTTTTTCTTTCTTTTTCAAAGGTTCTCCAGGTGTAAACCTGAAACACAGATATATAACAATGTTTTGGACATGAAAACTATTATATAGTATAGTACATACATATTGGTGGCTAAGTCTATTCTATGGACGATTTTCAGAGATATAATAGTTATACTCTGAGATAGATTTTCTTTCGCTCCCTGACTACATCCCCCACAACAGTGAAACAGAATGGAAATTTACAACTCTTTGCTCAGGAGTTGTTTATGTGGGGGGACGCAGTCTGGAAGCTAAAAGGACTTCTGTTTGGGGAATGGTATATAGTGTATGGGGAATGGTGTATAGTGTATGGGGAATGGTGTATGGGGAATGGTGTAT